TCCAAACTAAAAAGCAAAATTAATTGCATTTTAAAGCGTGATTTGCTATTTGCTCATAACGAGTCATTGGATCGAAATGGTGTTTTATTTGGAATAAAATAAATAAAAAAAGAAAAATTATTAGAGAACCACGACGACTGGTTTTACTTGCGCACGTAAGGACATAAAAGTAAAAAAAAAATGTAGGCGAGATAAATATATATTAATACCGACACATTATAAATGATCGTTAAGATCTTGAAGTTATTTTCAAATATGTAGCACAATTTCCAAGAATGTCAATTTTACTGAAACTTAATATGCAAATTTACATTTTTTTCGATTGAAAAAAATTAATAAATTAAAAATAATGAACAGAAACCAAAAGGTAATTTATTTTTTCAAATATATTTTCCTGAAAACGTATTCTTTTTAAATTTTTTATTTTTTTTGGATATTTATGAAAATGTAAATAAAAATTTCTTTTTAATTTTTATACAAAAATATTTAATTACCCTTTGCAAAAAATTAAGTAATAATAATAATAATAATAGTTAATTAATTTAAATATAATAAATTGAATAAAATAGTACAATATTTTATTCAATTTATTATATTTAAATTAATTATTAATAATAATAATTTCATTTATAAAAATTAAAAATTAAAAATTGAAATTATTAATTTGAATTGAAAATGATTCTTTTTGGAAATAAAAAAATATTTAATTACCCTTTGCATAAAAATTGGAAGGGAGAAAAAGAAAGAAAAGAGTGCGTGAGAGAGAGAAAAGAAACTCAGTTTCCTGATTAGCGAGCGTAAATGAGTGCCATTGCACTTGGAGTGCCAGTGCCACTGCCGCAATTAAACCTCGAAACCTGAGTCGAGTTACGCGCTCGTTGCGCATTATACGATTTTTGATGCATGTCGCATGCAGTGCGTATACATAAGATGATAAATGAGTTAGGTTTATTTGTCGCTTAAACTTTTCTCACAGTAAAAACATGAACTGACCATCCACTTAAATCTCAGGTTCCTATACATATACACACACGCGCTAATATTTTCACACAATCTTGACATTCTTTTCGCCAATATTGCCGCAATACTCGACCTGAATTACGACTTTGACTAATAGTTTATTATACATACATAAATGATATACTAAGCTCATTATAAATTGCCACTCGAAAAATAAAAACATACATCTATAATGTAATTTTAAGTGTTTTTTCTGCTTTTTCTGCAAATTTCCGAGAATTAAATACTATATTCTGCTCGTTACCAGTCTCCATTTTTTTTTTAAATAATATATAAATGATTTCTATTACTTATGAATATTTTTTCTAATATTCCGATTATACCTGATTTAAAATTTTATTAGTCAATTCTAAAATTAACTAATTGTAAAATAAATAAATAAATAAATTCTAATTCAATTATAAATAGTACAAATGGTACTGCAAATAATATTATTTTTGAAAACTTTTGGCGCAAACTATCAATTATTTTCAAAAATTTTCGTCAATTCAATGATAAAAATTTCACAGGAATTCAATTATTTTTAAATTTTTTATAAATTTCTTCTCAATAATTCCATTATTTTCATGAAAAAAGAATTTTTTTTACAGAGATTCAATTATTTATATAAATTTAATTATTTTCAAAAATAATAAAATTCTTTTCAAAAATTAAATTATGTTCAAAAATTAAAAAAAAAATCCTCTTCAAAATTTTAATTATTTTTAAATACATAATAAAATGCTTCTCCGAAATTCAAAGGTTTTTAAAAAAACTTCCTAAATTTAAGGATTTTTCAAAATATTTATTATTTTTAAAAAATTCTCCAAAAGAATACGATTATATTTTAAAAAAATTTTTATAAAATTCTACGCAAACATTTAATTATTTTCATAAATAGGAAAAATTTCACTGGAATTCAATTATTTTTAAATTTTTTATAAATTTCTTCGCAATAATTTCATTATTATCATTAGCTATTCAATTAGTTTCATAAATAATAAAATTCTTTTTAGTAATTCAATTATTTTCATAAATAATGAAATCCATCGCAGAATTTCAATTATTTTTAATATAATTTTATTTGAATGCTCCTAAAAATGTAATTATTCTTAAAAATTTTATTAAAAATCGTCGAGAAAATTCAATTATTTAAAAATTTTGTTGATAAAATTCTTTATGAGAATTTAATTTTTAAAACATTTAATTATTCAATAAATAATTTATTTTTGTATTTAAATAATTGAATTCTCATATAGAACTTATAACTAACAATTCTGTAGAATTAATTTTTTTTAGAAAAAGTTTAATGGAATTTTTTTTAAATGATTAAAAATAATCAATATTTAAGGATGAATTTTAGCTAAAAATTCTAGAAAATAATTATTGAATTGAAATGATGAAAATAATCTTGAGAAATTAATTTTGTAGAATTAATTTTTTTTTAGAAAAAGTTTAATGGAATTTTTTTTAAATGATTAAAAATAATCAATATTTAAGGAAGAATTTTAGCTGAAAATTCTAGAAAATAATTATTGAATTGAAATGATGAAAATAATCTTGAGAAATTAATTTTGTAGAATTAATTTTTTTTAGAAAAAGTTTAATGGAATTTTTTTTAAATGATTAAAAATAATCAATATTTAAGGAAGAATTTTAGCTGAAAATTCTAGAAAATAATTATTGAATTGAAATGATGAAAATAATCTTGAGAAATTAATTTTGTAGAATTAATTTTTTTTAGAAAAAGTTTAATGGAATTTTTTTTAAATGATTAAAAATAATCAATATTTAAGGATGAATTTTAGCTGAAAATTCTAGAAAATAATTATTGAATTGAAATGATGAAAATAATATCTTGAGAAAGTTACAGTAACAAAATTCTTATAAAATGAAATAATGATTTTATCCCTCGGTCATCTTTAATTATTATAAAACATGAAGAATCTTAATTCCTATGGAAAAAAATGATGATAAAATATTTATTTAAAAAAGAAGTTATTAATGTTTTTGAATAATTTTACAATTCGAGAAATTCGTATATAAAAAATGTAATAGAATATTTTTTTGAGTATCTAATAAATTTTTAGAGTGAATCAAAATATTCTTTAGGGTCAGGGAAAAATTCAAAGTTTTCTTTAGAAATCAGGGAAAAATAAAATAAAATTTTTTGTAACAACCCTGCATTTTATAATACACTAAAAATGAAAAATTACGTAAATAATTCACCAAGATATATATCTATATATTGTAATGTAACACAAGATGCATTTACATTTCGTAAGACAATTTCCATCTCTAGTTAGTGGCTAACCTATAACCGCACACATCTAGGCTTGTTTGCAAACTGGATTATTATTTGCCATTCGTAATATGTCACCGTAATCGCGATTTCTAAGGAGAGCTCCGCACACACGTTCATGCGAGAGGATAATTGAATCAGGCAATGTCTTAAATTCGCTGATTAATAAGAACAATTGCCATTGTTCTCTATTTTGTAATTGCAATTAAATCTCCCCGCATTGAATGGAAACAAGGACTTCTAATCTTTTGGTTTTTTTTTCAATTTTTCGATGAGTAAAAAAGTACTTGGAAGAAAAATAACTAAGGGGCAAATTACTTTTGAGTAAAATAACTTACTAGTAAATTAATTAGGGGTAAATTTTTACTTAGAAGTAAAATAACTTAGAGGCAAATTACTTCGGTATAAAATTACAGACGGGTAAAATTACTTTTAGGAATAAAATTCTTTAGGGGTAAAATTACTTAAAAGTAAACTACCTTAGTGGTAAAATACCTTAAGGGTAAATTACTTAGAAGTAAAATACTTGGAAGTTAATTTACTTAGAGGTAAATTACTTAGTACAATAACTTGGGGGTAAAATTACTACTTAGGGTAAATTACTTAGAGGTAACTTTGAGTGAAATAACTTAGGGGTAAAATAACCTTTGAGTAAAATAATTTAGGGGTAAAATTACCTTTGAGTAAAATAAATTAGAGGAAAATTACTTCGGAATAAAATTACATAGGGGTTAAATTACTTTTAGAAGTAAAATTACTTAGAGGTAAAATTACCTTTGAGTAAAATAGCTTAGGGGTAAAATTACTCAGAGGTAACATTACCTTTGAGTGAAATAATTTAGGGGTAAAATTACTCAGAGGTAAAATTACCTTTGAGTAAAATAACTTTGGGGTAAAATGACTCAGAGGTAAAATTATCTTTGAGTAAAATAATTTAGGGGTAAAATTACTCCTTATCGTAAATTACTCAGAGGTAAAGTTACCTTTGAGTAAAATAACTTAAGGGAAAAATTACTCCTTAGAATAAATTACTCAGAGGTAAAATTGCCTTTAAGTAAAATAACTTAGAGGTAAAATTACAAATGAATGAATCTAATTAGGAGTAAAATTACTTAACACTAAAAAGTAATTTTAATTCTTTTTTCCGCTTCTTGAATCCATTGAAATTTCAAACTTTAGGTCAAGTTTCGCATTGCTATTCGAGCTTGTTCTTGTTATTGCTCTTCTTCTCCTCGCCTTTCTTTTCTTCTTTCTCTTAATCTCTTTGGCACGTGCCGGACAGGTTCACCTGGCGAAGATACCAGATATTTTCTCTGTGCGCGAGATCTCGATACCTATCTTTGAACTCTTCTCTCTTCCTCTCTTTCTTTCTTTCTTTCTTTATTTTCTCTCTTTATCATTTTTATCTTTCGTTGTTGGAGAAAAAAGATTTGCAGACTCACGCGGTGATTTCGACGCCTGACGCTTGCAAAAAGATAAATATATGTTATTAAAATTCATCGCGTAACTTTAAATTAGTAAATAAATAAATAAATAAATTTTTGTTTCTATTTCACTTATAAAAAAAAATTTTTTTGTTTCTATTTTACTTATAAAAAAATAAATTTTTATTTCTATTTTACTTATAGAATATTATAATATTGAAATTAAAATCGTTGCGACAAAGTTGAAAATAATTGAATTTCTTGTTTTGTTTCAGGTTACCACAGCTTACCGTCTTAGCGAAGATTTTGTGCCTCCTGATGGTAAGTGAGTTTCTGATTCTTAAATTTAATATCATTCATTTGATATTATGCACTTTTTTTTTGTTTATAATCATTGAATACAGTTGATAATTAATTGCAGATAATTTTTAGTGAGAGTTTCTAATTTTTATTTATGAGAGGAACAAAGATAAAAATAGAATAATGAAAAATAAAAAAACAAAATAAAAAATAGAAATAGTGATAAGAATAAAGGATTAGGGTACAAAAGTTCCAAAACGGAAGTTCCAATCGAAAAGTTCCAAGAAAAAAGTTCCAAAATGAAAAGATCCAAAATTTATTTTTCCAAAGTACAAAAGTTCCAAAGTCCAAAATGTCCAAAATATAAATTTACCAAAGTGTAAAATTTCAAAAAAAAAATTTCCAAAATAAAAAGTGTTGAATTGTTAAATAAGTGAAAAGTATTGGAGTTGTTTGAAAAAATAAGGCATCTCCAATATTTCACATTATTTTTTCTATCTGAATGCTTGTAATACAGAAATCCTTCGATATGTAAATAATTTTTTTCCGACTTGTATTAATTCTACCATAATTAAAATTTACAATTTAATATAATTTCACTGTTCACTATTTTATAGTTTAAATAAAATTTTAAATTAAAATAAAATTTTTAATTTTACTACTTTACAATTTAATTAATATAATTTCACTGTTCACTATTTTATAGTTTAAATAAAATTTCTAATTTTACTAATTTACAATTTAATATAATTTCACTGTTTACTATTTTTAAATTTGAAAAAAAAATTTAATTTCACAACATAATTTTGGAATGAGCACACGTTGAATGAAATTTTTGATTTGAAATTTAAAAAATAAAAAAAACAATGTTTGGAAAAAACGACTATTGGAAAAATAATACTTTGGTAAAAATGGCCTTTGGAAAAATAATACTTTGGAAAAATATCATTTGGGAAAATAATAATTTGGATCCTTCGGAATTGGAACTTCTGTTTTGGAACTTTTGACTCCATACCGAATAAAGAGTTGAAAATTAAAATAATAAAAAATAAACAGTAGAAAAATACTAGAAACAATAGAAAAATAGAATGTAGCAATAGATAATAATAGAAAAGGTAGAAAAATAGTAGAATAATAAAGAATAAAGAATAGAAAAATAAAAAAAGAAAAGCAATAAGAAAATAGTGGCGCAATGAAAATAAATAATGTTTTCCTCGCTAGAATACTTAATTTAATCTTTTTCGTTTAATTTTACAATTTTATAACATGATTTTCAATTTTAAAAAATTATAATTAATCGACTTTCCATTAATTTTTAAAAGCCCTTTAAATCAAAATAAAAAAGAAATAAAAAATGAAAAAAAATTGTAAACGAATTAATTCGTTTACAATTTTTTTTTTCATTTTTTTCTAATCGATTTTCCATTACTTGTCGAGTGCCCTTATTTTCAAAAATGAAAACGAAATAAAAAAATAAAGAAAATGTTAAAACGAATGCCATGTGGTTTAAAAAATGTAAAAAAGTGATTTACAATGGTCTGTAAATTTTATGTTCTATTCAACATGGATTGCGGTTATTTTTACACACATGAAATTGCGAGGTGCTTTTTTAGATTGACTGGGTCAGATTGTTGATTCTGATAAGTTCGCAAGAGTCACAAGACCCATCAAACATCGCGTGCTAGTAGGTTTAAACCCTAACTGCGAAGAATCACTATAAACTTACTCGATTACATTGGCGAGTTCTTACCTGCCATATAGATTAATGATTGCGGTTTTCCACACGTACGCTTATGTAACAATATCTACAAAAGAAATGAAAGAAAAAAAAAACATTTACAGAAAAGAGACGAATTTAGTTTTTTTTAATTTTGCATTTTTATTATTAGAATCATTTTCTCTCTTGACCCTTTTATGTAATATAAATAAAATAAATTCTTATATTTTTACATTATTTGTTAATTAAATGAAAATTTATTAATTTATTAATTGAATAAATTATTATAATGGAGACCGATTATGTTATTTCTTTTCCACTTTCACTTTCATTTTTAGTTTCACTTTTATTTTGGTAGATTTTTTATTTTCACTTTTTATTTCACTTTACTTTAAATATATTTTTCTTAAACATTCATTTTCACTTTCACTTCAATAAATTTTGATGTAATAAATAAATAAATTATTTATTGTTTTTATATTATTTTTTAATTGAATGGAAATAAAAATTAATTCATTCCTGTTGAATTTTCTCCTTTTTAAGTAGCAGGTGAAAAAAAATCTTGTGACTAAATTTAAAAGGCCCATTAATTTCTTTAGTTATTAAATTAAAATAAGAAATAAAATAAAAAATAAATTAATTAAAAAAAAAGTAAAATAAAAAATAAAAATAAAAAATAAAATACAAATAAATCTAGTCGTCTAATTTGAACTGCCCATTAAAATGAATTAATTTCAGTTTAATTTTTCTCTTCTTTCATTAAAAAAGCAAAAAAAGAATTAATCGATAAATTTACAATGCATTAGTGCAATATTTGTTTGAACCAAATATAATAAATTATCGATTGAGAATTATTCAAAGGGAACACAGTGAATTTGTCAAGATTCTACAGGCAAATAAAAAAGCAATAGAAATGAAATTTAATGGTTTCGGGGGATTTTGCTTTCGAAATAGTTACATGCAAACAAGAATAGAACGAGTAGACGACAATTTATATAAATAAAAAAGTATCGTTGAATGTACCGCGATGTCGCGTGATATGCGAATCGATCGTAAAAGTCGATCAGGACAAATCGTTACGTGTATTCTCTCTTTCTCTTGGTTATTCGTTATAACGACGTCGTTGTCGGCCATTGAACCTTAAAAAACAAAAAAAAACTTTCAATTCTTGCGAAAAAATTTAATTAAATAAATAACAAGGGAATTTTTCAGGAAAGTCAAGGAAAAGTCTGGGAATTTTCAAAAAGATTCAAATTTTGAAAATTTAAAAGTAATAAAAAAGTAAAAGTAAAAAAATATTTACTTAAAAAAAATTGTTTGAAGTTTCCAATAATTTTACAAAAAGAAGATATTTAAATATTTTTTTTTTCATTAAAAATATTTGAATAATCATGAATTTTAAAACACAGCTTTGGATTTTTTTTTTCTATTTTTGACAATAATTTACGAAATTCGAAAAAAGCAGATTGAAATTATTTTAAATAATTTAATTTTCCAAGCACTTTCTAAAAATTATTAATAATTGCTTAAAAAAGTAAAAAAAGTACTTAAAAATTCTAAAAATAATAAAATTTTACAAGAGAATATAGAATTAAAATTAATATTATTGTACACATAAATAATTTAATTCTCGAAGAACTTTCTAAAAATTATTTGTAATTGATGTAGAAAAATTTTTATTTTTAAAGAATTTTTAAAGAAAATTTTTAAAAATAATTAAATTTTCAAAAGAGAATGTACAATTGAAATTAAAAAGTGGAATTTACGCAAAATGAACATAAATAATTTTATTTTTGAACTGAAATTATTATTTTATCGTAAATTAAAAATATAATTTAAATAAAATATTAGGTATTATTTTTATATTATTAAATTAAATATTAAATTGTAAGTAAATACTATTTATTCAAAAAATTCTAAACAATTCTAAAATTAATTAAATTTACAGAAACAAAATTAATAAAATTAAATTTCAGTAAAATTTTCTTAAAAAATTTTAAATGCTAAACTTAACTAATAATTGAATTTTTGAATGCATTTCTTAAAATTATTATTTAAAAATTATTTATTGAATAAATTATTACTGAATTGATTTTGTGAATTTTAACTTAAATATTCAAAGAATAATTGAAATTTTCAAGAGAGGTAATTGCATTTTTTTTTGTAAATGACGAAAAAAATATTGTTTTGCAAATTTACTTTATTTATGGAAAAATTATTTTTAATTTCAGGTGGTGATGCGCGGGGCGGTTCCGGCAATGGTGCGCTCCGTGAGTCTCTACTCGACTTGCAGCAGCGGCAATATTACCGTAATCGATCGCGAGGTCAGAGCCACTGAGCTTGATGATCACAACGCACCTTATCGTAAGTAAATTAAATTAATTTAATATCTGATTCAAATTTTTCCCCCTAACTGTTTTTCATCTTTTTAATTAATCAACGTATTCATCAAATTTGCCACAATTTAATAAGATTTTACACTTTTTATTAATTAATAATTAATTAATAATAATTACTAATTAATATTATCAATTATTAATAATAATAATAATAATAATATAAAATTTTTTTCAGTGGTTTTTTTATTCTCGATATAAATAATATTTATTTATAAATTTACACTGAAAAAAAATTCGAGACGAAAATAATTAATTAACCGATTAGTTTTCTATTATCAAATAAATATTTACTTGAATCAAGTAATGTTTATTTAAATCAAATTATTTAAATCAATAAATAATATTTGCAACAAATACTGTAATTATTGGTTCAAATAAAATTTAATTGACTGAAATCAAATATATATTAATAAATATATTATAATTATAATATTACTATAATGTAATATTATTAGATTATTACATTATTATAATTATTATAATATAGGTAATATATTAACATAATATTAACGTAATATAATAAAATACAAAAATTCCTCAATATAATTACTTTCAAAATTTATATATAAAACTATTGCAAATAACGTTGGAAAAAAATGAGAGAGAAAAAAAACACTAATGCACTTGTATGATACAACATAGAGTCATCTTTGGATAGATAAGGACAAATGGACGTTTTACCCGTAGGTTTATTTATATTTATAATATAAAATATTATAATCAGCCTCTGCTGCGATTTTACAACTTTTCCAAGAAATTTTGCGATCAATCTTGACAAGTGTTGATTATATGTATACGAATGCTAGGACATTAAATATATTGGATACTTTCGCGCGTTAGATAATTTTTTTTGCCCTCCTCAACACACAAACTATCTAGATATCGTATAATTGTTTTGGTAATAAAGCTTATAATTTATGCAACCTCGATCGATTAAATCGAGGCTTATTACACACTGCGCTGATGACTCAAAATCGTGACGATTTCAATTTTTTTTTTGCAGTCTATTTATAGAAATTTTAGTGTCATTTTTTTTTTTTTTTTGCTCAGAGTTCGCAATTTTTTTTATCTCTCGCGATATAAATGGTTTCAATTGACATTTAGAAATTATCGAGTGACTTGGAAAATTGATAAACTTTCTTTTTATTTATTTTATTCTTTTTTTGTGGTGTTTGATTTTATTATTTCTACAATGTATTTTTATTTTTTTACTATTTTTATTATTTCTCTTCTTTATTGTTTCTCTTTTTTATTATATTCCCTATTTTTATTAATATTCGCCTTTTTTTTATTCCTTTCTATATATTTATTATTTACCTACTTTTCTTTGTTTAACTATTCTTTTTATTTATTTTTATTATTTGTCTGTTTTTATTATTTATCTTTTTTTATTATTTTCGCTATTTTCTTCTTTGCTATTATTTTTTCTATTATTATTGAAAACAAAATTTATTTACTTTTTTTGTTTATCTATTTTTTATATTTTTCTATATTTTTAATTTTTTATCTTTTTTTATTGCCTAGTTTCGTTATTTATCCATTTTTATTAATTATCATTTTTTTTCTCATTATTTATAACTTTGTAATAGATAAACTGATAAATTATCAAAAATTATTAATTGACATTAATATTTTCGATAAGAGTCTCTCTTAGTTATCGAGTTTTTTAAAAACATTTTCTCAAATTTATTATCGAATATTCGTATATAAAAATACTGCTGGTTTCGTACACAGTTTTAATTTTTTTTTCTCTGGGTGAAAATCCTTTTTATAGTTATGTTAAGTACTTACTCTGAACTTTTTCTCGTCGGCAGTCATAATTGAAAAATCATGAAAATTTTTTACTCTCTCTCTCTCTCTCTTTCTGAAAGTTTGCCCTCACGATAGAATTTTATTTTCAGTTAACTTTCCTAAAGTCATTATTTATAAATTATTTTTTTTTCTATATAATTATTACAGAAAATTATAATTGTTTAATTGTTATTTATGTTAATTCAAATTACTTTTCTGTCTCTATACTAATGAAAAAAATAATTTAATAATAATAAAAAATTAATATAATAATATAAATAAAAATGGTATTACTGTTTTTATTCTTATTATTTATTTTATTAATTTATTATTAATATTTTCTTAGAGTTCGCAATTTAATAATAATAATATTATTATTTTTATTTTACACAGGTAAAAATTTATATTTTTGTTGTTACGCATATAAAAATTCACATATTATATTGTTTTTGTTATGAGAATTATTTTCAATAAAGAAATGCAATTTTTCTTTTCTCGAGTTGGCATTAAGTTTTAAAGTACGAGTAGCCCATGTTACCAATCTTGTCCACAAGGAATGGAATATATATGTCATATTGGAAGTTTACTATCCACAGGCGGTCTTATATCCTCGTACAGACCACCGGCACACTCCTATAGTCTCTGAATGTTTTATCGATTTATAAAAGTTTGCATATTGATAGGAGAAATAAAGGCAGTTTATCTCCAAAGGGTTGCATTCTCAAATACCATCGATATATTCATTCGGTAAATTTTTAAAATCTCCTCACATCTTTTGTTTCCCTTCAAAACAAATCATTTCTTCAAACATTATTTTTTTTTGTCGTTTCTTCAAAAAAAACTCTTCACTCGATTAAATAATTTGATTCCAATATTAAGAAAAATAATAATAATTAATTTATAAAAATAAATAAATAATAATTAACTACTACTATTATTACTGTTACTACTAGTACTACTAATACTAATATTATTACTATTACTACTAGTACTACTAGTACTAATATTATTACTTTTACTACTATCACTACTACTATACTAGTAATAATATTTATTACTATTACTACTATTATTATTACAAAAGTACAATTCATACTATTAATACCATTATTATCACTATTACTACAATAGTACAATTAATACTATTAGAACCATTATTATCAGTATTGCTACTACTGCTACTATTACTACTACTATTATCACTATGTTACAACTACTATATATACTATTAATAATATTATTACAATTGCCACAACTATTATTTCTACGTTTATTATTACTATTACTATGAATACTATTATTACTACTGCTACTATTAATACTATTAATACTATTAATACTATTAATACTATTAATACTATTAATACTATTAATACTATTAATACTATTAATACTATTAATACTATTATTTCTATTACCACTCCTAGTAAGTAGTGGTAAAAAATTAGTAGCAGTAGCAGTAGTAAGAGTATTAACAGTAGTACAACTATACTACTCCTACTAGTGTACTACACTATAGTGGTACCAGTGGCAGTTGCAATAATAATTATTATTTTTTATTTTTAACCAATAATAAGAAGAATAATTATTATTGTTGTAATTATTACTGTAGCAACAATAGCAACAATAAATAGACTCTTGACGATGATTAAAAAATATTTCCTGCCCTTTGGAGGAGAATAATAATACGCGACGTAATAATGCAGTGCGAAATGCACATTCAGTGTGTTCTTTTGTGGAAGAATGGGTGGCAGCTCATTTGAGATGTTTTCTCGTAAAAGAAGAAAGAATGGCGAAAGAAGTATTTGCCGGCGGGTTAAAGTAAAAGGTGTACGTACATATATACAAAATATATATATATATATATATATATATATATATATATATATATATATATATATATATATATATAGGACTTGGTGGGCAAAAGAGAAAAGTCAGTTTTCGCGCCCGTCGTTGTGTCGTTGTTGACGCCGCCGTGTCGGCACTTCCACCCAAATCCATCACACACCTCCGTTTCATCTTCTCCTGTTTCCATCTGCACAAGACGACAACAAGCACCGTCGAGGACCGACGATTACTCAAGATCAGTTGGTTCTTATGGCAGGGGAGAAAATATTCTCCTTCTCGCTTTTTCTACTTTTTTGTTGTAGAGTTTCTTTCTCTCTCTCCTTTTTTTCTACTTTTTGTTGTAGAGTTTATTTGTTTGTTTTCTCTACTGTTTGTGGTAGTTTCTCTCTTTTCTTTTCTACTTTTTGTTGTGGAGTTTCTCTCTCTTACTCGGTTTCTACTTTTTATAGATAGAGTTTCTCTTTCTTTCTTGTTTTCTACTTTTTATAGTAGAGTTTCTTTTTTTCTACTGTTTGTAGTAGAGTTACACTTTCTCTTTCTATCTCTTCATTTTTTGCAATTTGTTGTAGAGATTTTTTATTTTTTCTACATTTTATAGATTTGCTCTCCTTCCCCCTTTTTTCTACTGTCTGTAGTAGAGTTTATCTTTCGTTTTCTCTACTTGTGGTAGTTTTTCTCTCTTCTTTTCTACTTTTATTAGTAGAATTTTAATCTCTGCTTTTCTATTTTTTGTTGTAGAGTTTCTCTCTTTCTCGTTTTCTACTTTCTATAGCAGAGTTTCTTTTTTTCTCTACTGTTTGTAGTAGAGTTACTCTTTCTCTCCCTAACTCTTCATTTTCTACAATTTCTTGTAGAGATTTTCTCTTTTTTCTACATTTTATAGATTTACCCTCTTTCTCCCTTTTTTACTTTTTGTATTAGAGTTTATCTTTCGTTTTCTCTACTGTTTGTGGTAGTTTCTCTCTCTCTTCTTTTCTACTTTTATTAGTAGAATTTCAATCTCTGCTTTTCTATTTTTTGTTGTAGAGTTTCAATCTCTGCTTTTCTATTTTTTGCTGTAGAATTTCAATCTCTACTTTTCTATTTTTTGTTGTAGAGTTTATCTCCCCCTCTTCTTTTTTTATCGTTTGTAGTAGAGTTTTTCTCACTATTTTCTAGGCAAAGAGGAAGAGAGAGAAACTCTACAACAAAAAGTAGAAAAAGATAGAGAAAAAATGTACTACAAAAAGTAGAAGTGAATTTCAGTCTCTTGCACTTTTTCTACATTTTATGGTAGAGTTTATCACTTTTTTCTACTATTTGTAGTAGAGTTTTTCTACTCTT